CTGTCTTCTCAGATGCCAAATCCTGTTAGTTCTTCTGTTCTTAGTGCACCTCACTTGTCTCTCTTCTTACCTCTATGTCACTTCTACTCCTGTATCTCAGGCTTTCTGTTCTCCATTCATTGATCACAATGTTTATTGAGTCTTACTCCATGCCAGGAAACTCAAAATAAAGGCAAGAAAGGGAAATGGGACTGTATCAGAGTTCTCCAGAGAGACAGAACCAATAGGATATGTTACATATGAGAGGGGATTTATTAGGGGAATAAGCTCAAGAGATTGTGAAGAGAAGTCCCATGATAGGCCATCTGCAAACTGGATGCTGGTAGTGTGGCTCAGTCCAAGTCTGAAGGCCTCAAAACCAGGGAAGCCAATCATGTCCTTGGTGTAAGTCTTGGAACCCAAAGCTGAAGATTCTTGAGCTCTGATGTCCATGGACAGGAGAGAAGAGTGTATCCCAGCTTCAGCGGATCAAGAGAGCTTCACCTTTTTTTTTTCTCTCTCTCTCTCTTTTCTTTTTGTTATCTCTGAACCCCCAGTGGATTGGATGGTTCCTGCCCACATTGAGGTCCGGTCTTTCCTACCCAGTCCGATCAAGAGAGCTTCACCTTTTTTTTTTCTCTCTCTCTCTCTTTTCTTTTTGTTATCTCTGAGCCCCCAGTGGATTGGATGGTTCCTGCCCACATTGAGGTCCGGTCTTTCCTACCCAGTCTACTCAGCCTCTCATACTAATCTCTGCTGGAAACACCCTCATGGACACACCTAAAAAGATAGCTTTACCACGTTTCTCGGCATTCCTTAATCTAATCAAGTTGACACCTAGAATTAACCTTCACAGGAGCTAAATTTGAACTCATTACCATATGACATCAAGAATCATATGCCATTTGAAATAAAATCTAATATGCATTCATACTGCACTGTAACAGATATCTCCAATTAAAGAAGCCATATAGCCTTCATCTGAAAATTTCTTAGCTCAACTCTGTATTTGAAAATAGAGTCCAGAGATTATGCAAGCATTGACATTCAGCTGTGCCTCACATGTGGGGTTGGGGCTCATAGTCTGATGGGGCAACACCAGATGCACAGGCAGTTCTAATGCTGTGGGTGGGTGTAGTGATAGAGACCAGCTGGGGACCTTGTAGAGCCTGGAGAAAGGGCACTTAAAAAGCTTCCTTGAGGAAGTGACCTCTAAGAGTTAGCTGGGTGATTATATAAGAACTGACTGATTTTACCACTTCTAGTCTTTTTCCTACTTCTTTCCTGCCCATCTCTGTCAGATGACATCATCCCTCAAAATCTTTTACTTAATTTGCTAATCAACTTTTATTTAATTTCTTGACCTGCCATTTAGTTTAGTTGGTCCACCTCCAGTCTTCGTTTTCAGAGTTCCTTCTTGTCCACACAAACTCTGTATGTTCTTGATGCTGTGCCTTGGCTCACTTATTACTTTGCTGGAACTTTCTGCTCTATTCCAGCCCCAGTGCCAGCTATTGCCACTTACTCAAATTCAGCTCATTTTTCAGAACCCAGCCCAAGCACCACCTCCTCCAGGAAGTCTACCTTTCCCAGTCAGAAATCTCTTCCTCCTTTGGAAACACGTGGTAATTTATCTCTATTGTTTTTTATTGCCACCATCAGTTTCTACCTTGTATTAAAATTGTTCGGATACAAACAGTGCTAATGTTCAACTGGTACACACCCAGAAGGCTGCTCCTGTTGTGTAGATATTGTTACATCTCTGTATTGGTGGGTCAGTAGTTGCAGCCCCAAGGCCTGCAGGTGCCCCACCTCCCACCACCCCATCTAGTGTAATAGTTTGAATATTGTCTCTGGTCATATGTCATACCTTTTTTTTTTTTTTTTTTTGCTATTGCTTAGAACTCTATCCACCTCACAAAATTGTAGTGGGGATGAATTGAGGTAATGTACTCAGGAGTAATTAGTATAGTGATTGGTATTGAAGTAAATGTTTAGCAATAGGGGTCCTTCTTGCTTTAGGGTGAAGACAGTATTTTATTCCTCTCTGTGTTTCTGGAAATCCAAGCGGAGGGCTTTGCACACAGGAAACAGTTAATCAATACTAGATAAATGGACTTCCTCCAGTTGTCAGGAAAATTTTGTAAGGTTAAAATTTCTGTGGTATTAGTGTGTTATGGTTTGGGTAAGCTTTACTGTAAGTAGACAAGCTTTCAAACTGAGTGTTTTCAAGTTGGGAAAAACTGTCTATAATAATTTGTAATTTAACCAGTATAAATAAAAAAACTCTCTTCCCTCCCCCTAAAACCCTCTTCTAACTCAGTTCATGTGTATTATTAAACATTTCCCTGTTTGATTTAATTAATAATAGATTAATATTAATATAATAATAGATTAACTGTGCAGATCTTACATTATTATATCAGTTTCTCACAATGTAACTGTTAAAGTGAGATTTGGGGGGAAAAGAAGAAGAGGGATAGAGAAAGTTGTGTTAGAATTTATGGTAAAAATTTACAGACAGATTTTTAGGTCCATTATCTACACTGTTTCCATCAGTATTTGGTCAGTCTAAATTCCTGTATGCCCAAATAATTTACAGAATTCTTGGAATTTGACCTGCGTAAATGTTCCTGGTTCATTACTCTGTGAAAGAGTATAGTTTTCAATGCAAACTAAAAGGTAGCCAGGGAGAACCTTAGGTCAGGAATGATAGTCTGTTATTATTCCCCAAAGCCCTTTCTCTAATCTTTATTAGGTTTGCCAGGTTACTTGTAGACATTGCTAGACTTATTAGTGCCATGCGAGGCCAAAGGGGTGGCAAACCTGATTTAGGCTCTGGAAAAAAGCTGTTCATTGTACAGAAACTACTTCTAACTAAATGGTGTAATTTCTTAGTGTAATGGGTCTTTTACAAATAAACCAACAAGTGTGTCATGGTCACTTAAGTTAGATGTTGTAGGACTGAATTTATATTATGCATCCAAAAATAATATACTTATATGTATATATAATACTTTACATATTTTTTAATAATTCACTGTAAATATTACTAAATATCAGAAGTATTAGAAGCAAAATGTACTAGGCCTGCCATAGTTTTTGATAGTTGTATTAATGAACATAATTCTAGAGACCTTGCTTAAATTTAAAATCCCGTATCACAAGGGTTCAGATCACCATACCAGACAGCTGCCAAAAAATAAAAAATAGGGGCCGGCCCGGTGGTGCACTGCTATAGTGCGCCGCTTGGGAAGCGCGGTGGCGCTCCCGCTGAGGGTTCGGATCCCACATACAGACCGGCCACTCACTGGCTGAGCGTGGGGCGGGAGCAACACCGAGGGTTGTGATCCCGTGGCCGGTCAGAAAAAAAAAAAAAAAAAAAAAAAAAAAAAAAAAAAAAAACTACAAGGAAGGGCCGGCCCGGTGTTGTGCGCCTCCTGCCGTGGGTTCAGATCCCATGTGGAGACCGGTTCCCGCTCACTGGCTGAGCGTGGTGCGGGCGCAACACCGAGGGTTGCGATCCTGTTGCCGGTCAGTAAAAAAGACAAAAAGAAAAAAAAAAAAAAAAAAAAAAAAAAAAAAAAAAAAAAACTACAAGGAATATGTCATTCTTTTCATATGGAAAGGGAAGATTTTGAGCTAAAATATTAAAAAGTGACTGGATAAG